GGGGTTATTGTGCTACGTAGTACATCCCCATGGTTGCGGTGGCGAGGATCGATCAAAGAGGGGGCGATAGGGGAGGCCCAACAGTCTATCGGGCACGATCCTCAAGCCACCCGGAACAATTGACCATTGCTATCAAGGATTGCGTAAAATGGGCGTTATTGGGCTTGGCGTAGCAGTGACGTCGGCCAATAGGAGGTCTCAATTGCAATCAATTAATGGTAAATCAAGTACTCGGACCAGCAGCAGTTCGAACATACATGTGATACATCCCCAAGAACCATGTAACACACACTAGTTTTCCATTGACAGCAGAGAAACCGCTGATCATTCCCATAATCAAACATGATAACCACCAACACGGCTATTTCCGGTTTAGACAATGACAGATAAGGACATGGTCATGGGAATCCTGAATCTGGGGTCCTTTTCATGCCATGCTGCGGGGTTTGTCAGTGTTATTACGAGTAACTTAGGCTAAATGTTCCTGCCGTACGCTATACCTGCCTGAAAAGGTCAAACACTTATAACTTACTCCTTCTAACAATAAACAACTAGGATATCATTATCCAATAATATTCAACCGTGGTAGTAGCTCCAACAATAAGGAAGTTTATTGTTTGAAAAGTAGCGATATAAGGCTTGTCACACTACTGCCTGGTTCACTCGTATCAAAGTTACGCGACGCGATCTCGTATCGCACAATTGAAAATTGTCTAGACTTTGATGCGCTTTCATATTGCTGTGGAGATCCATTGAGACAGCAGCAAGCGATAGTGTTGGTCGGGATCAACTTCACCATCACAGAAAGCTGGCAAGCTTTACTACATATGAGATCCTCAACCGAGCGCCGCCCCCTCTGGATTGATTCTATTTGTATCAATCGGCATGAAGTCGCTGAGCGGAAACCTTGGGCTAGCGAAGCTTACATTAACCTTTCGTATTCATTGTGTTGAGATGTCGGGTCTGGCATCTTTCGTTGCTGTCTTAACTTTATATTCGAACTATCAGCATGGAGTCGCTGAGCGGAATCATCAGGTGCGGGCCATGTTTAAAATCTATCGCAATGCTCGTGTAGTGCGGGCGTGGGTTGGATGTGAACAGGATGAATCAGATGGCCCTATCCGAAACCTCATTCAGAACGTGTTTCACTATATTGGCCATTTGGCAAACAAAGTTCATCTATTAACGAGGGTACGCTGAAAATGTACGTTATAATATATAGATCGATTTCCCAATTTCAATCTCCTAGCTAAAGAGCTTGTTGATAGTGTTGGGGGCAAAAGCTTGTCTAGTCTGCTCATAAGATCCTGGTGATGGACTAAGTGTATAGAATGATACCTGATGACCTCCCGCTGAGCATAGCCATTTGGAAAGGCCAGGATAGATAATCGAGCTGCTTCTAGATTGGGAAGCCGATCCATATGCCCTAGACAGACTATGTTGGTTGAACGCCTTGGTCCGAAACAAAACAGTTCAATCTAGTGGATGCTTTGCGAATATCTGGAGAAAAGATAGATGGTCTCAAATAGGATCAACATCGAATGCCTTACTTAGTATGGACGGCCAGATTGGCCGTGGTGCCCTTATCGATACATCTTATCATGTGAGTGAGGATGTATTCATCCGGGAAGCAGTTAAAATTTAATTCGCAACATAATAATCACAGCATTAGAAAGCGGGAACAAGACAGGGTGGGCGTTGCGCAAAGGTTGATCGAATGGAACTCTAACCCGATGCTCTAGAAACCTCGCAGTGTCTGCATCGCCTACGGACCAGATCTTCCGGTATAAAGTATTGGGTGACATCGTCTCTATTGTATTACATGCAACTTTTGCCATCATGCCTTCGTTGATCATCCGACCGTGGCTAGAATAGGTTGATATCGTGGTAGTAAGTGAAAAAATTGCAATCAATTTCTCATCGAAAAAGAAAATATATGAACATAAAACAACCCCTAGATGTTTTCAGGGATTTAATAGGAACACTTCGGATGGTTGATGCTGTGGCGGGATCGGGAGATTCAGGGTCGGCCGAGAAATGGACAAATAGACACCCCTGATCGACCAGCGAATCTGCTGGGTTAGGGCCTCGACAATCTATGTAACATGAACATCGGGAGGCAGTAAATGGTATTAATAACGCAAGTGGTGTCTTGCTGAGGTGGGGATGCTAGAAAGGTTGGGAGCCCACTGTGGTGCTGCAATGCTGCATGTTATGCATAAGGGCGGCGATAATCGGTGGTGGTGGTGGCCGAGTGGCGTGGCAGACGGTATTGATCAATTTTATTCGATAAAATGTCAATTGGCACAGGAGTTACGATTTTCTAAAGTAAAAAATGTGGCAGAGGATTCTCAACAACGAAGAAATGTCGCGCATACAGCCGACCCCAGACGGCGTTATGCCAACGGATGAAGGTGCTCGGCCGGAGCTGACCTTGAGGGAGATTCCGAAGCATAAACCACACAAGAGGGTGCCTATTTGGTTGGCCACTCACCTGTAAGTATGGGTTGGCGCATTGACGATGTCCACAACCAGAGGCGAAAGGCCTGGGGTTGCTTGATTGCGGATCCGCCTCGTCAATGCTCTATGTATGAACGAACGAATGAACTGCAGATCCTCCCCCGGCCGTGAGGCGCGTGAATAAGCCCCGACGCGACGGCCGATGAGCTGGCGGTGCGTCGGTCTGTCTGGACCCTCATGCTCCCGACACACTCCGCGTTTGCATTTCCGTCGGGAGATTGTGAATGGTACGATTGTCCGCGTCCGATGGGCCCGGCGGCTGCGCTGTCGAGATCAGATTCGTCTGTCTCATTGGGGCATGAATGGCTGTCTAGCAATTGGCCTGGGGGCGTTTGATTTCATGCAGGAGCAATGCAGTGCTCCATTGGTTGTGTGAGTTGGCATGCTAGAGAAGGGAACTCTTCATCCTGATGTTGTATTCTCGGTACAACGAAGATGTACTCGAAAGAAATAAAAAGGTGATTGTGATCCTCGACTAACTGCCTTTTCCTCTCACCTCATCACTCTCATCTCTCATCTCTCAATTACAACTCAACAGAACCAACACCCTTTCAACCCTTTTCAACCTTCAACATGTCTGCGTGAGTATTCCTCACCCATATCACCCTATCCACCACAGAAAGAAAGCTAGTTTCTAATATAAATTCATAGCACCGCCGATAAGCAGTTTACTGTCCCTCTCCCCACCGCCACTGGTCTCTCGACTCCTGCTGGTAAGTTCTAAGACTTTCTTGCTTCTCTCAGCCCATGATATTAACGGTTTTTGAACGACAGGCCAGCTCATCAAGGGTGCTACCCAGGATGACGGCAAGCTCCGCGATGCTGCCCTTCTCCTCGGTATCAAGCTCGACCTTGAGGCTGAGGTCCACCTGACTGCCCGTGTCAAGGGTGATGTCGTTGTTGGTCTGTACTAGGTGTATTATTGGTGAGAGAGAGCGGTAGTAAGGCCTAGAGGCTCCCGGTTGTTAGTGGCTAGATCAAATCGTCAGCCACCTCTTTTTATTATCAGCCAGCGAGTCGGTTTAGCTTCGGGACTACAATCAAAAACAAAAACTTTATTCTTCAAATCCGGGTGCATTTTACTCGTAAAGCCGTCCAGATACTATGTGACATGTTAGTCCATCCAATTGAATCTCAGCAGCTCCAGAGCCGTGGAGTGTTTCCAAGGCTCGGCCCACCGACTCAGATCGTGTTCTCAGGAACACCAGAGGCATAGCGAATCAGTGCTGTAATAGAACCATGCATTGATCGTACCTTAAAGGTGCATTGAACCACGAACCCTCCAGATTCACTATATGCGTTTAGGTAACTGACACATGCATATGCGTGTCAAACGAACCATATTAGCTAACTAATGCCTCAACTGACATACACCATAAGATTCAATTGCCTATTCAATTGATTTCGTTGGGCCCAGTGCCCTCTGACCTCACTCGTACGTTGAACATTATAGAAAGCTCAATCTTCATTGGCAGGAAGAAAGTAGACACGAGCTTCAATGAGTCCAAGATCAATTGGTCTATGAAGATCGAGCCTTCAAGTTAGAAGAGTAAGTTAGTAAACAGATCTGAATCATACTAAATAAGCATGCCTCATTTCCCTCTTCTCTGATCCAAGCTGCCAGCAACAGAGTTTACATCAAATGAGGCCTGGTGGATACTAGCATCATAGTACAAACTAACGTCTCTGAGTCATCAAGGAAGGCAACGTGCCAGAGTGGTTAATGGGTAGCACTCGAATCATCTTAGTGATGCTATGACTTCGGTCGCGCATGTTCGAATCATGCCGTTGTCGAAATTTTTGTGTTTTTTTTTTCTTTCTTTGGTTTCGCGGCTGGATGACTAATGTTTACTCTAGCTTACGAACGTTTTCTAGTATTTAAATTCACGAAAAGAACCTAGGTACTCTCAACCTTAGAAGTCTCACAACTCCGTTCATTCCTCTAATGTATTTCTTAAAAAGATGTTTCTTTTAAGCGATTGAACGCTTTAGCCTTTACCGTAGCCAAAAGCAACATATTCTTTGCCCTTCTTCCCTAACCTGAATGGTTGTAGTGTGGTCGGGTGCAAATCGATATGGTTCTATAGGGTAGCTGCTCCAACATGATACTATACTTGGATAGGAGGAGGTACGACGAAGCCAACACTTTAGTTCAATCCAGCTGGAGAAAGAATGATCAAATTGACAACGATCAAGGTTCGGAGGAATGGATTATCGTAATAGACAGAAGAATGTCGACCTGACGGTATTAGGAATAGGAAGCTGGTTGGATGTCTTGACATGTTCTGTACAAAATAATGGTTCTATGGAAGGCACTCTTAAAGGATAAGTATAGCAAAGAAATTGAAATCTAAAGAGAGCTCCGAGCCTTTCCAAATTAAATACTCTATAGATTTACAGTATAGCCTCTGAAGAATAATAGTTCAATAATCAGATAAGTCTTGAAAGAATATTTGTAGGATTCATCGTTGCTCCCGTGGCTAATGTTTCTTGCTAGCCGCCTTGATGGCCTCCTCCTTGGATTTTTTCTTCTGAGTAGCAAGCTGAGGCTTCAGACTTCCCGTTGGCTTTTGAAACTTCTTCAGTCGAGCCTAGGCACAGAGACAGCACAGTTAGCTGCTATATGTTTCAGCCAATAGCCAGCACGGAAACAGGGAGTTGAGTAAAAGGTATTCGTGTACAATGGCTCCTTACCTCAGCCTTCGACTTTCGATCTCGGAGGAAGAGACTTCGGGGTCTGTGCTTGCTAGCAGCCTTTATTGTCTCTTCTTTCGACTTATGCTTCTGAGCAGCAAGCGTGGTTTTATGTTACCAGCCGGCTTTGGCGGCTTCTTCAAACGTTCCTTCATTAGTAGCCAAGTTAGCAATCATCTTATCTTTACTTGCCACATTGATGAAAGATAAGATCTCAATAGCCAGGGGATTTTGAGCTTCGCTTGAACAGATTAGCGTACCTCGGCAGCACTCGCTCGGTTGCGAGAGTACAAACCTCTCAGGAGGAGTTCTTCAACAGCTCCCTGATCAGCCTGCGCAAGAATGTTGGCGAGGCCGGCCTCACGGGTTGCAAGATCTTGCACTTGATTGTCACCATCAAGCAGGCTGTGAATATTATGTGCAAGTAGCTCAACGCCGCTGTCGGAACGGGTGTTGCGTAGGAAATGGTCACTCTCTCCGGGGAATACGGCGCGAGTTGGTGTTAGAAGCGCTGCAGTAAGAAGGCATGTCTTGAGAGGGGCCATTTTTGAGATGTAACGGAGCCTTGAGGAAATAAAAACTGTAAGCGAGACAATTTTGAGAAAGGAGGAATAGATATCAGTTTTGGAATTGGAATGTTCGATGGTTGATATGGCATCGGAATCTCTAGGAAGTGAGCTCCCTTTAATAAAGGTTTCCCGTCAATCGAATTCCTAATTATCTAATATTTATGTTACAGTATTCCAAGTTTTAATACCGGAGACCTTCGGAATTTAGGTACTAAAGAAATCGGAGGTGGAAAGCAAAATAAGGTAGCCAACTTGTCCTGTAAGAGTAGACGCGCGGGTCGGCAAACCACAATCTCACCACCCTGGCTCGCCCGATACTCTCGAGACTGGGAAATGTGTCCATGCCAAGCGTTATGAGTTGATCTCTCCAGCCATCCTTCATCCTCCATCATTTCCAGACGGCATTAATTTACCCCGAAAGTCTGACAGATCTCTGGCGCTTGTCTGTCTGGAACATCAAATATGGTTATAATGTCAATTCCCGTAGCCTCCTTGCTAAAAGTACCGAGGAAGAAGGAGAGAAGATAAAAAATACATGGCCTACTTATGCCCATTGCGCGTAATGAACTGCAGACCTGGGTCCCTCCAATTGGCGAGGTTAGACCTCTGAAAGGTCTCGACATTCTTCATATACAGAGAGTGAGCCTTCGCAGCTCATCTTTTGATGGAACCACGAGAGATTGATGTATCACTGTCACTTTCCGATAGTGTTGTGATTGTATCTATGGCTAAGGTCGCGGCCGTGGAGTCTCTCGTCAATTGACTGACGAGAATGCTTGATCAAACGTGTCCCTTTGCTTAAAAAAAAACCGCAACGCAGGCTGCCCTTCTTGTTGTATTACCAATTGAAAGAATTGGGTTCTTCATTTGAACCTCATATTCTCTTTGGTGGGTTGCAAAGTCGTTACTGGCAACTAAATAATTCTCGAGGTTTGCAGCAATGAGATAATTAATATGCTGAGCCGGTAAAAGAATCCCCACGATTCACTAGATTTTAATCATTGGGGAGAATATATGACAAGGAAAATTCAAATTCATGGTCGGTAATGTTGCCAGATGTATCTCTATCGTAGTTTTTAATTTCCTCCCTAACTTTTACTTGGCTCTGCCAACGATGGCGATCTCATCATCCGACAAGGTGCCCTGTTTGACCTGTATGCCGTACGTTTTCTGCACGTAAATCTGCCCATCCTTGTGATTGCTGCTGTGTATATCATCCAGCGGAATGGACTCGGCGACCATAACGGACCTCGTTCTGTTAGGCACCAGCCCGTCTGGCCCCCGGCTCACTGAACCGTCTCCAGCGTACTTGTGACTGAGTCCAGAACGCTGACTTGACTTCTTTCCAGTGTAGTTCCTGATATTCCGCGTGAGCAGCGCTTTGAGTGGTAGTAAAGATCCCACAATGACCGCCGTCATGGTCTCTATGGCACCCCAGATGGCCAGGCCGATCATGTCCACAGTTTGGCCGGTCAGAATCTGGCTCATGCGGACGAGCGCAACCGCGATGATGATGAAGCCGATGCTGAATGCGATGCCCAAGCCAATCTTTTTCTTTCGGTTGAGTTGGAGCGATGGTAGAACGGCGATGGGGAGTGCCATGATCATTACGTCGGATGCGATATCGACGGAAGTGGAATAGATAATGTTGAATCGAGACATCCACTTCTCGAAAGGTTCGTCGCAGTTTCCTGTGAGAGACGTGTTATCAAACTGCGACTGTAAAGGAATGGAAATGAAGGAAAATCAGTCAGAAGACTGCAGATGCGTACCTGGTATGAAGTAGTCACCGGGGTTAGTGCAAGTCAAGGTACTTGCAAGCCAGCATCCGATGTATGCTATCGTCGTAAACGCGACCACGATGAACCAACATATCCGAATCCACTTGGTTGGCTTCACAAGAGGATAAAAGGCAGCCAAAAAACTGGCTTTGACGGACCAAAGAACTGTCCAGAAAAGCTTGATGACTGGGAACTGAAACCGTAACATTTGCGACATCTGGGGAAAGACCTGGGGGTCGTTGGCGGCGATTCTTCCAGAGGTGAGGTAAGTAAAGAACCACAGCGAGTCTGTCTGTACCGTCTGCAAGATCGCCATGGTCGTCACGCAGAGCCAAGCCCATACCATCCAGTAGTCGTCGAACAAAAGGCGGCCGTTCTGGCGCCAGCGCACAGTAAGGCGGAGGGTCACAAAGAGCGAGGCAACGGAATAGCATGTCCAGATGATGGCGAGGAGACCGGTGTGGTTGATGTGTGCGGCAACTCCCTTCAGCGGCGCGTCAGGATAGGCCTGAGGGACGTCTGTTGACGGCCCTGAGGACGACATCTCGTTGATAGAGAGACAATGAATCAGCTAGGGACAAGGGAGCCCGATGATTAATAAATGAAAAGCATGTGCCTTTGATCTTCCTTACATGATGAAGAAAGAACGAGTGAAGGATGCCCCGGACGGCAGATGGGGGTGGTGGAGGCAACACGTAGATCAAATGGGCCTCCGACTGAAACAGGTATCGAGACTCTTTTTGCCGTACTTTTATCAGATGTATTGTCTCCCCTAAAGGAAATGCGTAAAGTAGCCACCACTTCTCTCATCCAAACCAGGAAACTACTAACCCTGAGTCTGGGTGTGCAGTAGTACCGAGTGGATGCATCGTAGACGCATAAGCGACACCTCTCGGTCAATCCCATCCCTGACAAGGGAGAAGAAGAAGCAAGCTGCTGCCATACAATACCGAAAAACCTTAACGCTTGTCCCCCTGACTACCGTGCTTTGCATTGTGTTACTGGACTGGCTATTTGATGTGATTAACCCCCACCCTTGCTTGGCCTGGGCTTCATCCGACCCTCACCTGCGGCGTCCGAAGTCAGACAGGATTCGAGACATTGCCTGTGCATTTGGCCACTGCAGGATCGCTCTAGCCAAGCCGGCGGTATTTTGGCGCTCCTGAGTGGTTTAGTGATCCTGGTACGTTCGATGAGAGCCTGAACACTAGCTAGGAAAACATGATAGCCCAGAGAACCGGTTTATCTTTGCTTTTTGCCGGCCCAAACTGACACAGTCACAATAGTTCCTGAATAGCCGATACGAGAGTCTACCAAAGGCGTGGGTGCTCCGAGCTTTCTTGGGAATTTCACGTGTGACAAGCTGGAAGGATGGCAAGGTGTGTGCGCCACAGGTGGGAAAACAATTTCCTCACACTTACCGTACTGCAACTTTCCTGCCAAAGACGGTTAATTACTCAAGCTGTTGGTTGTTGCATGCATGTATGATCCTGCACACGAAACCGACACTAATGCATCGGGACATTAGCTTGGGGAAAAGATCATCTCCGAATGTCACTCGGCTGTCGTTCTTTCTCTCTCGACATGAAAACTCACATATGATGAGACAATATTTTCCCAGGTAGGGTCGTAAAGGTGGCGGGGCGCGTTCTTTCGTTTCTTTTTCTCATGTGCGTCAATCTCTTTCGTGATTTTCTCTTAGCCTTGCCGCGAGGTGATCCGCGAGATATGGCCCATCCATCGTGCTCGCTCGTTCCGGATCTACCTCGCTAACCAAGTTTGCTTGGCAATTATCACCTAGTGCCCGCCCACAAGTGGCGGACGGCACGGCTTCCTTTGCCATCCGGGCTATGATTCCTAATAGGCCAGGTATTTACGACCGCCGAAAGAGAACATGGTTAGATATATACATGGGACCCTAGCCATTGTTAATCTGGAAATGCTGGACCAACCTGCATGAGCCAAGTGTGATGACCGCTCCCCAGAAAAAGCAAAGATGCCCAGCCCCATCCCGGCTCCTGGGTCTCTTCCGCTGGTACGTGATAGGAAAGGTGTGATGAACCGAATGTGCTCAGACGTTCCATTGTCCATTTCCCCAAGAGGGGATTAGTTCGAAGGAGAGGGGAGGGGCTGAGAGAGGTATTTTGTCATCCCTTGCTTCTAGCTCTGCAGCTGAGCTTGCTGGTAGCCGGTCCTTGAGGAAGGACTAATCCGGTGGAGGTATAGCCCACTGGACACCATTACGCTCAGCCTCTTTGGACACCAACAATGGCCTTTACGGGTTGGTTCATGCAACTAGGGCCAACAGGTTTACAGCTAAAGCTCAGACATGGCAGGCAACAGCAATATCAACCGGTTATGAGCATGTGAATGGAAGGGGCCGGCCGACCTTGGCTCCAATAATTGGGGGTGGGGTGCGTCAATGGATCGGGGAGCAGTTCATCATTCCGTACCACGGACAACCAACATCATGACGGACTGTTCGCGAGCAGTCAGCAGCAAGGGTCCAAGCGAGCAGGACGGACGGACCCTGGCTGTTGTTGGTTCCTGTGCCTGTGTCTTTGATTGCTGCGAGGGATGACCAATCGAAGGGGCCGCAATTTCTCGACTGCTTCTTTGCTTTGTTGATCGTCGTCGACTCGTCGCAGCACTTTGCCCAGTGTAGATCACAACGAACCGACAACACTCTACACGATGTGGTCTAAATCACTGGTGCTTCTCTTCGCAAGCGTCCTGGCCTCTGGACTTGTCCAGCCAGCTAATGCCGGATCAAACACAGGATGTCGCTGTGTATGTTTCACCCTCCATTCCTCGACGCACGTCGTGTCCGCTAACCACCAATTCGCCCGATACAGGCCCCAGGAGACAAGTGCTGGCCGTCGGCTGTGGGATGGAAGGCCATCAACCTGATCTTGGGCAACACCTTGATCAAGACGGAGCCAATTGCCCAGTCCTGCTACGATGGCCCTGCCAAAGACCTCGACCACTGCAGCTATGTCACCGACATGTGGACAGACCAGGACTTCCAAGGCAGCGATCCCATCGGACGCGCGTACCCTTACAATATTACTTGTCCCACGGTCGACTACGATGCGGGCGAGGTCCCTGAGAAACAATGTATCCTCGGTCAGCTGCCCACGTACGCCGTTCGCGCAACGAACCGATTGCACATCTACGGCGCTCTCCTTGTCGCGC